ACTATGGACCAGTTGTGTTGGTTGCATTTGATTGAATGCTCAATGGGTCAATAAGCCAAAATTACACATGCTCACTCATTTGACTGCAAGCATTAGGCACCTGGGAGTTGCAAGCCTGTTTATGAGAGAATCCTTTGAAAGCAAAAATATTGTCACCTGGACAGCCTCAAAGTTTGCAAAACTCATGCGATTAGTCGCAAGTCCCTACCCAGGGCACCGATCTCGCGAGGTTAAGAGGGCCCTGCGGTAGATGTGGACTTGTGTTAAGTTAGCTGGAGCCTGGTGTACATATGCGCGCACTGCCACTCTTCGAGATATTTCCTCACGTTCGGTTTTTGACGTGTAAAGCGATTTGCCTTGCGTGAGATACAACAGGATACAACATAAGGTATTGTGAAAAGATTTATAACTATTTATAAAGATCAATCAAATTAGATTAAATCTTACTCAATCTCCTTTCTTGAATCAAATATGAGAAATTTGTTGTGACTGAATAGCTACATACATAAATTCGATCTTGGGCAATCTTGTGTGATCTTGTGTGATGAAGTGTGCTCGGGTGGTGAAAATATCAATGTAGCTGTGATATGGCAGACGAGGGGATATTATAAAAAGGCGACCCCTACGTTTGTCTTTTTGGATTCCTTATCGAATATACTTTACCCAAAATCATCAGAATCTTCTTTTCGTCCACACGACTTTTTGTAGCGAAAATGCGTTTGGTGATATTTTTCTTAGCTATTTTGGTGGCTATGGGATCTATCTTAGCTGCCTCTATTGCGTCAACCGAAGACCTCGATGCTGTAAGTCTTTCACTTATCTGCTTTTGTTCTTCATGTTCATCACACCCTCACACCTCGCGATTTTTCATTCCAGGACCACCATGTCCGTTCACGCCGGGCCCCAAAACCTCATCAAAAAAGGTGAGCTCGTGTGCCTATGCTGCTTGTAACGGTATGACATCCATCGAGATATTGGCTTTCATGCCGAGATCTTCTTTTGGCCCGACGCGTATAACAGGCGGAGTAGTGATGATAAGAAAAAGACGACCGAGACACACAAGAGCAAGAGCAGTGTACGTTATTGTATTTGAGTAGATTCATGAAACCTTTTCATTCTTAAACCTCGTGATCCTCCCTTCCAGCCGACGTTGCAGGCACCAGAACTAGGTAATGGTAATGTTGGTCCAGGCATTGAGGTATCGGGACCAGAGCAAAGGTCATGGTTTGTTTCCTTCCTGATGAATCGATCAAGTGCGATTTCACCGTGCGCTTTGGCTGATCATGACTTTATTCGGCAGATTCTTTTGGAAATTAAACAAAAATGTGGACTTGATAGATACATCTTTCTTTTCTAAATCATCATCTTCATATACAATTAGTTTTCTTTTCTTTTAGTTATACAGATCTTCTTTACACCTTGGTTACATACTTAGGAATCTTTTCTTGTCTCGTCTTTTCTATGTTGATGACTTTCATTTTACCAAACATATCCTGTACTTGATTTCATGTCGGATCAATATTGGTACACCATTTCTTGTCACTATTGCTCTGAGTCTTGAAGGTCTATTGTTGTTTTAGTATGTTTAGCGGCTTTGTTGATTTCACTCTCATTTAGTCTCTTCTGGTATCATCAGTGATTTCGTATCTCTCGTGTTCTCCATCAGCCCACATAGACCCCTCGGGGTCTTGAACCCTTTGTAGGTGAGGTACAATTGAAGGTATTCCTCAGACTGGTTCTCTATGACCACAACTAAAAACTGGACCTTCACTTGACATCGAATTCCAAGAATTATGATGGTCAGTTTGATCTTTGGTGTGAGTGCAAAGTACCCTTTTCTTGTGCTTACTCAAAAACATCAACGACTTGTTCCGCCTGACAAGTAATTTCTCAACATCTGGTGGATAGCTCTAGTCTTAGTCCAGTTTTAGTGCAAGTAGATAAGAAGAGCCTCGCACATACCGCTTTCCTTGTATTTAAAGGAAATCCTTGTTCCGAACCCCAACATCAATCTGGTCGGTGATCCTGCTTTTAAAAGACAAAGTGAGGTAAGTTCAACATGGTCACAACCGGTGTTGACCATCACGATTCCATATCTTTTCTAGTCTTGCATCTTGTACATGGATTTGAAACGCAATCAAATAACTAGAAACCCTTCACCAGTAAGCCTCCTCCATCAGCTCTGGCGGTTTGAAGGCTAGGTTCGAGATAATAATGGCATACGAGATGGTTATCAAACCATCTTCTCCTGTTGCCCCTGTATCAAAATCGTCAGTTGTTGCTTTACCTCGCGTTCACATCACCCCTTTGTATTCTTCACACCCTTCCTTTTGGTTGCTCTCCTCAGTTGGGTTTTTCATTCCCCTCTACCCGTTTTTTTTCCTTCACCCACCCAGCCTTCACTGGCTCTGGGCTCAATTTACCTTGTTCCTGGTCGTCGTCTCTGGATTTATATCAATACCGTACATAGTTTTTGATCACTACTCTAGTCTTATTTTCATATTGCTTCAACTCTGTAGTTTTCTATGATTGATGCACTAGTATTTTACTTGCTTCACTCCAGTCTCCTTTATCATTGTTTTACTTTTTGATTTCCACAAGCTCTAGTTTTTTCATCATTACTCCAGTTCTATGATGGTTCAGCTGTGTGCTTACATTACATCTTACCTTTTATTCATTCTTTGGACTTTGAGCAAGCTTCTGAATCAGCAGGCCCCCTGGGCCCTGAAGAGTTGAAACCGACGCTCAAAGTCACCATCATTGATGTGGTCTCAGCACACCATAACATGATGTCTGGAATAAGTAGTGTACAATTTAAAAAAATAGATCCATATCGTCGATGACCACTTTGTAGAATGGTCTTGAAAAAGAAGTCAGAATTTGAAGTTCGTAAAGAGACGAGTTTGAGTGAGTGAGAAGTGACGTGGAATTGGATTGAAATGAATTAGGTTTTAGAGTGAGGTTAGAATATGCTTATAAGTAGTTTTGACCAATTGAGTGGTTGAAAACTCTGAGAAGTTCATGAATGTGAAATTGCGAAGAAAAAAATCACCGCACTTCAACTCAAAGACAATCGAAAGGAAACATCGGAACACACACCACAACTTTCCTTTGAGTATCTATAAAAAGTGTTAGATATTTTATATATTCATTATCAAAAAATCAATCTAAAATACCATCCTCAACAAAAATCAACATCGTCAACCAAAGTTTATAACTTATCACTCTCAATCAAATCACATCATGGCGTAAGTAAGAGTTCGTTCGATCGATTTACCAATCAATTCAAACTAACCATCTCTTTACTTCTGCTTTCCTTTTGCTTGTTCCTAGTCCTTATACTAAGCCTGAGACCGTACTCAGGGTAGGTCTCTTTTACTCTTATTTTCCTACAATCGATTCAAATCCGCATACTGATTTCACTCTTTTCATCATTCAAAAGCGTTCGGAAGAGCTGCTGTCCGTCAACCAGCCCATGTCGGCACTTGCGTCCATCTCCGAGATCTTCTCATCGAAGCGTTTTCGTCAAACACCTCTCGCTTCCCTTGAGCCGATCATGCTTCGATTCATCGATCTTTGTGTCTTGCTTCGTAAAACCCGTACCGTTAAAGAAGGTTTACACATGTACAAAAATGTGGCACAAAACACGAGTGTAAGCAGTGTCGAAACCGTTATTCAACATTTCATCACCAAATCAAAGGAAAAACTCGTAGAGGCCTTGGCCAAAGTGGATGAGATCGAAGGTCCCTTAGTCAAAGATCAAGAGACCGATACCATCGAACCCAAAGCTTCAGTTGAGGTTGACGATTTAGAAGCAACTGAGACTCCTGAAAGTCTTTTGTTGTCGACTGTCAGTGAAGAAAAATCACGCGATCGTACCTATCGCGAATTGGTCACCCCTTGGTTACGTTCTCTCTGGGAAGCCTATCGAACTGCTTTGGATATCCTACGTAACAATGCTCGTTTGGAGAACGTTTACCAGGTCAGTGCAATTACCATCACATGTCGATCTTTTTGATTAAAATATCATGTTTTCTCTCCTCTATAGCAAATCGCAACCGAGGCTTTCGAGTTTTGTTTGACTCATACCCGTAAAACTGAGTTCCGTCGTCTGGCCGAAACTTTACGCTCGAACTTGACTTCATCCCAAAAGTATGCCAATCAAGCTCATTCCATCAATCTGTCTGATCCGGAAGTTCTTCAACGTCACCTCGATACGCGATTCCACCAGCTTAACACATCAGTCAAACTTGAGCTTTGGCAAGAGTCTTTCCGAACTGCGGAAGATATCAATGGCTTGATCAGCTTGAGCAAAAAAACACCCAAGAACAACGTGATGTGCAGTTTCTATGAGAAGATGATCAAGGTGTTTGGTGTGGGGGAGAGTCATCTGTTCCACGCAGCCGCTTACAACAAGTACTATGCCATTCAAGTCAACTCGTTAGCCGATCAACCAGAAAAGCTCGAGAAACTCGCCAGTCTCGTTTTGCTTTCTGCTTTGGCCGTTCCTATCGTCAACTCTAACGCCCCTGCGAATGAATTGGCTAAGAAAGGTCGCGAGAACGAAGATGACTCGAGCAATCTCAGCAAGAGCAAATCGGGCCGATTGGCCAGCATCCTCGGATTAACTTCTCTTCCAACTCGAACCAACTTAGTCAAAGATACCTTGAATCGAGGTACATTGAAGAGATCTTCTGCTGATCTTCAAGCACTCTATCAGATCTTGGAAGTCGACTTTCATCCTTTGTCAATCACTCGCAAGATTCGTCCTATCCTCCAAAGACTCTCAGAGGATTCCGAGACAGCTCGATATGTTGAGCCTTTGAAAGATGTAGTCATGACCCGCCTATTTCAGCAACTCTCGCAAGTCTATGACTCGATCGAGTTGACTCGAATCATCAAACTCGCCTCATTCGGTAACGCTGAACCTGATAACCTCAATCAGACTCGTATCAAGGTTGAGAAATTCCTCATGGAAGCTTGCAAGCGTGGGGAACTTGAGATCACCTTGGATCATTCCACCGGCTCAATCAAATTTGCTGATCGAATGTTTGAGAATGGGATCAATCAAATGAGCGGAAACTTCTCCATGTCCGATCAACCACCAACGCTTCTAGGACTTTCAACCGATGTACCGCTTGTACCCAGCCAAAGCCAGGCCAACAATCATGTACTCCAGCCCAACTCCGCCAGTCTATTACGGACACACCTTACACGACTGGCTTCAGCTCTGGCGGTATCGTTGAAGCACATCTCGCCTACCTTGTCTGGCGCTACTGATACCACTGCACCTACAAGTGATCATCTCCAACTAGCTAAGACGGCAGCAATTCAAATCCTTCATAGTGAAGGACCAAAACAACGTAAGATGTTATTGAAGCGTAAATTGATCATTGAAGAAAGGAAACGAAAAGTGGAAGAGCAAAGACAGAAACAAGATATGGAAGACGCTAAAGCAAAAGCACTTCGATTGATTCAAATTCAAGAAGAACAACAAATCCGATTACAAAAGCAAAACAAGGAACGTGAAATCAAGAAGATGAAAGATGAAGCTGACAAGATCCGTGCGGCTGAGGCTGAGAAAGTGGCCATTGCTCTTGCTACCCAAGCTGGTTTGAATGTAGATATCAAGGTATGCGTGTTATCTAAATCGATCCTTTATGTGTACTGTGCGCTGATTTGTTTATTCTGCTTGATCAAATAGAACCTCAAGGGCGTTGACACCAACACGATCATCCAAATGGGTGTGGAACAAATCGAAAAGGACAAGAAGGAACTCGCGTCTAAATTGAAGACAGTCAACAAACGACTCGATCATACTGAACGGGCTCTTAGGCGAGAGGAGATCCCATTGTTGGACGAAGATTATCGACTTCAACAAATCCGAGATGAAACTAATGCAAAGAAATTGCAAACCGAATTACTCGAAGGTCTTCGAGCCAAACATGCTAGTGAATTAGAAATCCGGAAGAAACTTGAGACCATGTTACCCGATTTCTTAGCCTTCAAAGAGAGCGTAGCCAACAAACGTGGACATGATTACAAAAAAGCTGAAGAACAAGCTAGGGTGAAGATTGAGAAAGCCAAGGCTGAAAGAAGAAGAGAAAAGATTCAAGAATTGAAGGCAGCCAAGGCTAGAGCTAGAGAAGAGGAAAGATCAAGAATCGAAAGAGAAGAAGCTGAACGAGTGAGAGCTGAGGAAGAAGCTAAATTAGAAGAAGAACGTAGATTGAAACAAATTGAGATTGAAGAGGAAGAAAGAGTCTTTAAGGCTAAAGCTGAAGCTAAGGCTAAAGCCGATCGAGAACAGCGTGAGCGTGAGAGAGCTGCTACAGCTGAGGTTCGTCAATTCTTCGCTTTCGTTGACAATCCACCAGTTTATTCTGAATTGGATTCACCTCCTTTTATTTTTAGATGGTTGCCAAACAAGCTGCTCGTGAAGAGGAAGCGCTCGCTCGTAGAGAAGCTAGAAAGCTTGCTGATAGAAGTGTTTCAACTCCTGTTACACAGTAAGTGATTCATAATACAGTCCATTCAAAACTCGACCGATTTCATCTGATTTCTCTCTTTTCCTTAGATCCCCAGGTTCCACGACCCCAGCCAGTGGTGGCGTATGGCGTCGAACAGCTGTAGCAGCTGAAGCAGGATCCACACCACCACTTCCATCATCTAATCCACCTACACAGCCTGTGACAGTTGGACTAGAACGGACCACTTCCAAGACAGGTGAAGTGAGACCACAAAACTTGGCAGGTTTAGCTAAACCAGGAGGATGGAGAGCTAGATCGATAGCAACCGGTACGAGTGGAGAAAGTTCACCTACTATTGGATTAAGTAGACCTAGTTCTGGGATTGGAGCCAAAAGAAGTACAACGACTCCGATGCAAAGTCCCCAATTGAATGGATCACCTGGAGGTAAAAAAGGTAAATTTGATTTGATTTACTTGTGACTTTTTTTATCTTGATACTGATCATATTGGTTTGAATGTATTTTTAGATGATGGAGAATGGAATGAAGTGGTCAAACCTGCTTCTTATAGACCACCACAATCTCGTACGAATACGAGTGGTGGTGGTGGATTAAATCATAATCGAACCACTTCTGGTAGAGGTGGAACTGGATCTGGATCTGGAGGTAGATGGTAAAATCTCCAAAGCAAAAAAAACTAGAAACGAAAAAAAATCAAAATTAAAAAATTAAACGATGAAAAAATGTTACCTACGTTTCGTTTTTATAGATGATGTAACTTTTTTTTCTTCGCTTGAGAAAGGAGGAGTAGTAGTCATGAAGAAAGTTTGAAATGTGTGTCTCTTTGCTTTGTGGGCTTTGTTGGATGGGATTTCTTCTTTTTCTCTTCCTTTTTTTTATGTTATGAAAGTTTTTTCTCTTTGGGTTTAAAACTTTCATCACTGTTTTGTGTGTGTGTTTGATGCTTGAATCATGTCCACGCCTTTTTTTTGATGAAAAAGAAAAAATTATTGGTTATTTGAATTTTTTTGGTTGGGTTTGGGGTTTGAGAATCATGAGTGTTAGAGAGAAATGTTTGAGTTTTTTCTTTTGACTTGAGATTGAGGAGTAGCTATTTCATTCGGTTTATCTTACGTGGGTTTGGTGTACAAATATATTCCGAGTGAGTTATTGTCATATATGAGTATGAGGTCTCCTTTTGATTCTTTAGCTTGGGTTTGGGAGTTTGTTGGTGACAATAAATCTCATTCGACTCAATTACCTACTTTCTTAGAAATTTCGAAAGAATTAAAATGAATGAAGGTCACAGGATACAAAAAAAAATGGCACGTCGTTCAAGTAAACTGTTCACAGCGGTCAAGATGTTCTTCAAGAAGTTAAATATATGAAACTGATAAAGATGAGAACATTCTCATTCTATACATCTAATACTTTGAGAAATTTATCAATCTATGTATTGCAGTCAAACCAGATATTGTTACCAGACAGCACTGATTAAATTTAGTGGTTCATTTATAAAAAAAGTGCACTTAAGATCAAACAGAAAGCTCAATGAACCATCGAATAAAATCCCTATCAATTGAACATATTAGGTCCTGATGATTCTGTATGGGCCAAGTGTACCGACAGAAAAGCTGAGATGTCCGAGTTGGTCCAAGGAGCCAGATTTAAGAACGCAGCACTGTTGTGCATCATAATTCCTGGTAGGGAAACCTGCGTGGGTTCGAACCCCACTCCCAGCATTCTTTTTTGCCTTTGGACCCACGCCTACCAGGAATTATGATGCACTCCCAGCATCATTTTTTGCCTTGTTTTCTGGGTGGAGCGGATGTGAAATTGCTTGACATGCGAAAAGCACCGCTGAGATGTCCGAGTTGGTCCAAGGGGGCAGATTTAAGTAACTTTTTTGAATGGGGTAGGACAAAAGGAAGTGATGATCCCAATCAAGAGTTGTGATAATGCAGACGTGAACTGATGTTGAAACATTGGTTTGAGTAGATGCATGCAATTATCAAAAGTTTGTCACCAATTTGGATAATACGGGTGTGTAAAAGTATACTGTTTCCCAGTTCAGATTCATAGAAAGACTTATATGGATCATTCCTTGCCAAAAGGTGTTTGACGAGAGAAAATAGAATGTCTTTGTATTTGCTCCAGTAGGAGGTTCTGAGCTGTCTGATTTATTTTAATGACAATGATGGGTGTTCACTTCAATCGCAGTGTTCATTTTCAGGCCGCATGCTTGTTGAATCCATATCCAGTTCACATTTGATGAATCTTTGATATATTCCCATTCAATGTTGGGTTTTTTGGAATGCTTACCAATGGGTTGGATTGGATTCAAGGTTTTTTTCGTGTCTGAATAGAAATGTAGTAAAAATTCAAGGCTGCATGAAATTTGTTCATTATAAAGTTTGACCAGCTTTTAATGAACATTTTTTTTTCCGAATGACATGAAGTATTCCCAACACCACTCATCAAAAGATACAGTGGTTTGTGATTTGGTTCCGAAGCCAAAGCTCTTCATTTACGTGATGTTGTGTTTGAATGGATGATGTCGGTGGAGTTCATTGCAATTGGCTGCATTGCATTCGTATCATTTCTTCTCTGTGCACCCGGTCATCACAAAGCATTTTGTGGGTGAGACGCTAGACTTTCATCACCTTTCCATCGTTTCTGGAAATAGACCAATGACTCGTATTGTTGATGTTGATCAAACAAAACATGATCATTTTCCAAGGTCTGAGCTTCATGCCACCGGTGATTTCTTTATGAATTTTAGCCATCTCTACGCTGCCGTTATTTGCAGGACCATCATTTGAGTCCGAATCATGCGCTAAAAAGTCAAAACTTCACCGTGCACAATGGAAAGATTCATGCGCGTATTGATGGAAGCAACCGGTGAAGGTCGTGCAATTATCTCCTCGAGCACTCAAAAGCACCTCTCCCTGGCGAGAAAGGATAACACACTCATCCTTCATACCTCACACTTTGGCTTGTGCACCTTTCTTACAATCTTCTTGCTAAACATTTTTTCGCTCTTACTCTTGCGCTCTCATACCTAACCACTTCCTCCAATCTCTACTCTCAGCAACGCTTTGAAAACTTTTTCCGCGCTAATTCATCCCTTAAGCCCTGAAAGCGTACCTCTCATCTCTATCGTCAGCTGGAAGTTTACCGCTCAAAGATGTCTTTCAATGCACAATTTGACCCGAACATGTTCCTTGAACCCCAGTACCACCAACCGTAAGTCATCCGTCCCTTCTTAATCCATTTTCACTTCCGCCAGTCTTTGTAACACATCCAATGAGGTCGTTTCAAGGTATTAACATATTTTCTTCTTTCTTTTGGTTCTCAGTATTTTTAGTGGGGTCCCTGATCATACGCAGTCTCAGCGTTCATCCATTGGAACTCAAGGTTCATCAGAGTTGCACAACTTGAATTATATCCCTTCGCCAGACTATGTGCTAGCTTCGCCATCTGGAGCTATCTACCATAACCAGCCAAGTCAACTCGATTTGGGACCCGAAACTTCTGAGGATCTCTTGACCTCTGAGGCCTGGTCGAATATTTTTAGATCAATCGGCTTCGATGCATCAGAGCTTATGGACAGCTCTGTTCCAAATTTAAATAATTACGTTGATCCTCTAGAAGTCGGGCAGTCTAATCCCCTCGTAGTCGAAGATGACTTGAACACAAGCGCCTCCTCGACCGACCAAGTTAAATCTGGCCCTGCGAGCGGAAAACGTAAAAGGTCTGCGAGCTTCGAAAGCGCCCACGAAAGCTCGCCAGACTCTTCGGATTCAGATGCTTGTAAGATTTTCGAATGCGTGCTAGATCCTGACTGCTTTGAGAAATTCAGTCGTGTTGAACACCTGGCTAGACATGAGAGGTTTGTTATACATCATTTTTCGCTTTATAATTTTCGTGCTACAAGAGTTCTGATTATATTTGATCATCTTTCATAGGAAACATACAAAGGAGAAACCATTTGAATGTCACTGCCTCAAGGCGTTCACGCGCTTAGATAACTGGCGGTGAGAAATATTTAGCTACTTGTGATGTCAGTTTTTTTCGTTACTGATGAAGTATCCATTCCTTTCTTTATAGGCAACATAAGAATTCCGTTCACAGACATCTTGTTGGGGAAAATGCTAAGACGGAAAAAAATCTAGTTGAAGTCCAAAAAGAGATGAGAAGGTCAAACAAATTGAGGAAAGCATCGATCATGGCAGCAACAAAACAAGCGAAACTGGCTACTGTCAAACAAGCTGAAAGCAAGCCCAAAGCCAAGAAGCCCTCATTGTCACCACCCTTCCTCAGCGGTCCATCGACAGCACGGTATGCAGCAGAGGCCCCCATTGGACTTCAATCGACTCCTTTGGTATCATCGGTTCTAGGAGAAAATGAAGCATCGACTTTCAACAATTCGGCTATCACCTTTGATTTGTCTAGTATCTTCACCGGGTCTACCATGCCATCTTCCGATATTGGATTTAGAAACTCGGGATACACACCCCATCACTCCAACTGTTCATCTCTGAGTGAATTCTCTACTAGTCCATTCACAGCTCCGATGAATATAAGGCGTGTGATCCCTTTTGGTGACATGTCTCAATCCGCTTCAACTTTGACTCCTCAATTTTCCAATCTTCAAGCTTTATTAGAACCATTCCCTTTCTTTTCAGATGTGCAAGGGCCTGCTTCGTTTCATCGAATGGGTCAACCTTTTACATCTAACAGTTCTATGATGCCTCTTACTGACGTATCATCTTACCAATCAAACTCAATCCCTGTACTTCTTAGTCATTATCATCCTGTTGAATATAATCCTTATGATACACCAAGCTTGAATACTTCACTTTATCCTTTATCTGCATCTACTTATCCTAGTTTACCTCTAAATGATCTTTATCCCTGGTCTTATTTGTAAACCTTTCTCTCTGTAGTATTAGTGGGTTTGAAATCATTGTATTGTTTGTATGTTTGAGAATCGACTTCTTTCTGGTCATCGATCAAAAAAGGCGATCATTGTATCTCTCTGTTTTTCTTGTATCTTGAAGTTAACAAATCTCTTGTATCACCTTTCAAAATCCAATCCAAACACATCCTTGTGCTGGCTTCTATTTACTGCGAGACATTTTGCATCTCATTTGATTGTCTCTTATAGCTGAGTTCCTGGAACTTTATAATAAACATCTCATATTTGTGTCCCATGGATTGTTCCAAAAAATGCCCAGTGAGGAAACAAGTTCGCCATATGCAGTACCCAGTTCCACTTGCTCCTAGACGGAATCCCATTAAGACTACAATATTGTTCATGTTCTTTGATCAATATGTCTATCTAGCAATCTGATTCCAGCGAGACTTTCTCGATCAATCAAACAGATAACCTCACACATGCATCTTTGCTGTATATCCTACAAACAGTCATGGTTAATAACATCATGGCTTGCTTTTTGCCCTGCCGATGCATTTCGAGTCTCTTTTCTTGTAATTTCCTCACACGTCAGGTGAAGATGATGCGCGCGGTGTGTAATGCCGAGCCCTAGTAGTGGGTCTGACCAGTTGTTGCTTCATAGCTGGTGAACCCATCGTCCTGAAATAATCTTCCGCCCACGTCACGGACTCATTCGATCCAGCTTTTGGTTCGCTATAGTCAGTTTGACTCTAGTTCGTATATGAGGGATTGAATCAGACTTGAAGGATTGACTTTGGTTTCGGAAGCACCTTCGGAAGGTCGTATTCATGAAACAATCCCAAACAGCGATGGGTAAAATGTCTTCCGATAATCTCAAGAGCACCAAGTAGACGGCAAGTCCACAATAACCAGGTGAAGTGTCGATCAATGGGCGACCGAAATCATCATTTTGCCGTTCCAAAACCAGGATTAGACTTTGAACCCAATCCAATGTCGCACCAATTTTATCAGCAGAAACAATGTGTCACGTTTTCCATAGTCGAATACTCAAATAACTCATGGTTAAATAGTAAATTCGCCGCTATCTTCACCCAAGCTCGATGGTGTTCTGCACGAGATGTTAAACCCACTCACGGTCTACACGGTGGCCTTTGAGATGTAAAGAGCAAGGGAATAAACGACCCGGCCAATGGACTCACTTGTCGTATGCGCGACTTCTCAAACCTTCGGCCGAGACATGTGATTTGTGATCTCAGTGTTTGAACTCTCACTCACCATCGACTTTAGGCAGGGTGTGCGCGTGTCTCGGCTGAGGGACTCTGTTGAGATGACACTACCCCGGGAGTACTATAATATCATGATGACAACTCTATGGATCTACAACCCTTGTAACATACATGCCGACCTGCTTGAAACCAATCTTAACATCGTTTTCAGTCTAAAAGTTAACTTGTACGCTTAATCTATGGTCAATGATGAGACTTCATCGAGAACACCAGTGTTCATGAAGTCGACAGGCTATATGAAGGGTCGTCTTTTTGCGACAATCCCGACTAAACAATAGCTTATTTGGCTTGACCATTGACCATTGGAAGTCAGCTTTTTAGAGCTTTGATCTTCAAAATTATAATTACCTTCCTTCATTCCTTCTTTAATCAATCAATAAATTAATCAATAAATTAATCAATAAATTTTTCACACACTCATTTTACATCATGCATTTACAACTTACACTCATTGCTCTGGCGTTTAGATATTCCTTTACATCAGTTCTCTCCTTGCCTACCAATGGTATCGAATCATCTCCTCAAACTCATCTCAGTCAATCTATTCATAGGCGAACGGTAGATCCCCTTGAGATTTCTCACATAAGAGAGGAAACAAGCGCAGAACTCCTTCCATCAATCTTTAGTGCTGACGGGGTTGTATCCTACAAAGGCTCATTCAACCCGCGCCCTCGTGTATTCACTTTCAGAAATGGAGAACCGATTTCTTACGATATCCCCTCAAAAAAAATGAACGCAGCAACTGAACAACGTCAGTTTCGAGATGAAGTATCTGAACAGAAATCCGCCCCTGACAAGAAGATCGACACCAAGACGAGATTACAAGTCTATTCGGAAGAATGGGTGGCCCAAAAGCTTGCACCTGAGGCAATGATCCGATTTGGAGAAGCCTTAAGAATCAACAACAATGAAGTATATCCTCTGACAGCACAATCATTTGATGTTTTAAAAGCCTTACCCTCCGACTTAGGCTGGGATGAACAACAAGCGAAACAAAAAACGGCTAATGTGCTTGAGTGGTACCGAACGAACAAAGTGGCTTCATTAGCTCATGAACAGCAAGAGATCTTGGACTTCAACCTTGCAATTGCGAATTTAGATCATCGACCTTGGTGGACCGAAGATGATATGCAAGCTTGGCAAACTACCAATATGCCTTGGAAAACCATCACTCAAGTCGGTAGCATATTAGAGCGTAAAGTAGAAGATTCTATGTCACCAGAAGAACTCAATAATGTTAGAAATGAAATCCTAACCGTCCTCGATAACTTTGCCGCTCACAACGATATTGAAGAAGAAATTGAAGGTACCGATAGTCAATCTCGTGGAGCGATAGCTGTTGCACTCAAACAAGTTACCGGAGCAAACAAAGCTTCTAAATCAAAAACAATTTACCCTGAATTTGATCAAAAACTTAAATTGATCGGACCCCAACCTGATGAGATTAAAGAAATCAAGATCTTTTTAAAAAATCAGAATAGTGGTCTGCTTCATTTAAATAAAAAGTTTCGAGTTTTAGTTCATATGCAATTACTTCTTAATGGAATTCCTTATGATATTGCAGAGAAATATGCAAAGGCTTATAAGACCGTTAGTGCTGCTTATTTGAGTCTCGCTACGGGTGGTATGGACATGCTTTCAGCAATGAAAGAAATCCTGCCGAGAGATGGGGGAGGGAAAATATATCATATGGCTACCTACAACGCTTTAAAGAGTTTTTTCGCAGACATTTATGGTCCAATGAATGTGGCCGTCGTAAATGGAAAAGCTTCTAAGCTGTTGCGTCTCAATGAGAAGATAATAAAATATCATATCACTTGGATGCCCCCGTTAGGGCTGTAATCTCAGAACTGGCCTTTGCAAGCTCAACGACCTCAAGAGTTTATCTGTAAGTGTGAATTTGCTTTGCGATCAATGTCGTCGAATCAATTGTATAACAAAACGTTGACCATATTCTCTTCTTCGCAATTCTACAACAGCAGATAAAACCAACAAGAATTGGCAACTGTTGACACACTCAAAAGCGACCATTCATAATCCCAAAATTTCTGTCTCGCTATCACAATCAGTACTTTGGAAATCATGAGATTAGAATTGTTCCCTAGTTGCTGTTCTTTTTTTGTTCCATTCTTTTTGTCGCATCATGGCACCAATATTGTCTTTGTCAAACACCCCAAATTGAACATACATAATTTTAAACTCTTTTATTCATTTTGAAAACATGACCTTGCATTTATTAAAATAAAGACTAGCCTGTACTTTCGCCAGACAAATTGCTGCATATATTGCGTTGCCCATGAGTCTATTGTCTTTGCTAGAAATATATGCATCTCATCAATACGCGAGTTTGAGATTGAACTCACCTACCAAGGCACGATTAGGTGAAGTACAGTCCATGGGTGAAACTCTGAAGGGAGGGCGTGAAAGGGGGATGAGAGAGGGGCTGACTGTCACAAGGAGTGAAAGGCGGAGCAGTCCCATCTGGCAACGGAAGAAATTCCAATTTCCAAAAGTCTGAATATTCTGATACAGAAAACTCAGACCATCAATTTCCCCCTCTTCATCACCCATCACCACTCCAAGTGTTAGCACCGCATATTCATGATCTATTACAGTCGTTTGCAAAAAGCTTGCCGCAAATTCCCCGCCAAATTGCTCGAGTTTTGCGGGCAAATTTGGGCAAGCTTTTTGAAAACGACTGTATCTAGTTTTAGTTTTGGCAACCGCCCACCCACCCAGCTGAGTAATTGCGCCGAGACTTTTCCAGCACCCGAGTTTTTCTGCAACACACAAAAAGTATCGGGTGAGCGCTTTGCTTCCCCAAACCATGCTTATGATTGTCATGATATCAGACAAGAGTAAGCAGGTAGGTGGTTTACAAGATAACTACATACAGCCGTTGTGACAAATAATGGTTTTTTTTTTCTCCTTCTTTACTTCCAGATTTTACTCGCTTTTTGACTTGTGGAAAAACAGGTAAAAACAGGTTTTTTTTTACTTGTCCAGTGGGAAACTGTCATCATTAATTGACAGTGTCCCACATATTCTATGCAAAGATCTACCCTACACTTCCAGTATCCGCAGGAGTTACTGGAGATAACCCAGCCGGTGGTGGATATTCTGGTAGGTTGCGAATATCCTCGTACACAGAGACATCTCCAAAATCTGTCCCGGGTTTTGTTTCTTTCTACCTCGACTTCGCTGCCTGAATAGGCCCAACTTCTTCCCAAAATGCCCCCGGTGAATTTGTTTAATTTTTCAGCCTCTCATACATGTCGCCAAGCTCATAGGATTGATGTTCAGGTTCGAATCGCCCATCACAGCCCGGAGGTCAAGCTCTCTGTGGTTCGAATGGCCCTCAGCGGGGTTCGGTTCCAGGATATCTCAAGAACACTTGGTATAACCTTGGCCCTTACCTCTGTACGCCGCTGGGTCAAGCTCTACAAGGAAACCCGCGCAGTTGTTACAAATCCAAACGATCACATGGCCCGTGGCGCACCTTTGGTCTTAGGAGGTCCCGAAAGGCTCTTTGTGTTGGATAGCCTTCGCCTGGATCCAACATTATACCTGGACGAGCTTCAAAGCAAGATTATGGACCGATTTAATCAACACGTTTCCATCAAGACCCTTTCTACCGAGCTACGTGATCGATTGTGTTGGACACGGAAGAAAGCACGCACGGTTCATCCAAACCAAAGTTTGGCCGCGCGAGGTGCCTACATGGCGAGAGTCCTCGACATTGACCCTGGTTGCCTCGTCTTTGCCGGTAAGTGCCATCATTCCGCTCGATGTTGGTTCTTATTCTATGTATTGATATTGAGAATACGCTGTTATGACCCTAGACGAAACTGCGATCTCCAAACGGCGTTTGTTTAGAGAATACGCACGTGCTCCAATTGGAGAACGAACCCCCCGCCTCCCTCGACCCACTCAAGCCGGGCGATGGTCAGCGTTACCTGCCATCTCGCTTGATGGCTTACTGGCTATTACCATCAAGCGAGGTGGTTATTCTCGCTTGGACTTTGAGGCGTTCTTGGAGAACGAGTTGGTGAGTCCACATGTTTTCTTTCTTACATCCATCATCTCGTCTTTTCGAGTATGGCTGCTAATGTACTTTACCCTACATATAGTTACCGGCCATGAATCCATGGCCGGCGCGGAATTCTGTGCTCGTGTTAGACAACACGCCTATCCATCACGGCGGCATGGTTGCAGAATTGTGCCGAGCTCGAGGTGTCAGGGTGCTTTACTTACCTGCGTATAGCCCGGACCTCAACCCTATTGAGAAGGGGTTTTCGCCGGTGAAAGCGAATCTGAGGCGAAGCCAGGGGCTTCAGGGTGCGATAGATGCCAATGGGGAGCGGGCCGTCGTTTGGGTCACCATGATGGAGGTTTTCACGGATGAACTTTGCGATAAGTTGTTCAAGGGGAGCGGCTATATGTAGCCCGATGGACACCCGGAGATGTTCCTGGTTTTTCTTTCAAAGTCTTTCAGTTTCGTATATGAAAAGCAATCATAACTTTTTCTTGATCGATACCAATCGATGTCCTGAGAACCGGAGTGAAAAGGAGTCATCGCAAGTTTGCGAACGACCCTTGACTTTCACGAGAGTCATGAGTCTTGGGCAATTCATGAAAAACAGATGTTTCGAATGAAGGATGACTCAGCCTTCGTGAAAGATTGACCATTCTTATTGGGTCAATCTTTCTCGGTCAATATCCACAAGGAAATATTGACCTTGAAAGAGTGAACTTGGGTGTAAGATGCTGACTCGGTCCAGATGTCACTCTTATGATGTCAATTAATACTATCGACATCATAAGGGTGAGGTGGGTATCATGTATTGATCGTTTCACTGGGCATTTAAGGACTCCAAAACTTTCCCATTGAGCACCTGGAATATTTTGAAGAGTCGGTTAAGTTTGAATCAAATTGGCCATATTTCAAAGTTGCAAACAACAAACTATCAAAGTTGAAGTAGACATATCAGACTGCACAAGACACGGAACAAAGAGGAAACAACGTAGACAAGTCACAAGTTTGGAGACGGGTGGTTAGACACATGTAAGACCACTTTGGATTTTCATGGAAAAAAGATTGGAACAGTACATCGTAAACGATAGCATTTACGAGTCATTTTGAATTTGGAAACAATCCGTCTCACTCGGCGGGGGTTGAAGATTCTTGCTGGGCATGAGCCTCCGCGGCAGAAGTGAGGAGGCGTTGAGCCATGTAGAATGGCATCCCATGGCCAGTCAGGACATTAGCTGTCATTTGGACGCTGGGGACCAGGTCGGTCCAGGACACCACATTAGCCTTACGGAGGATCTTACGAGTGGCAAGATCGTTGCGAGGGACTTCGCAAGCAGAGAGAAAGTCGTCCAAAAGTGTCGAATGGGTCACCACGTACTCGACATCAGAGTCGGAAGCGTATACAACCGTTTCGGGGACATCCTCGTCAGTGAGGAGCGAGATAGGCTTGGTGGCAAGATCACCCAAGGCTGTGAAAATAAAATCAATTTCAAAATTGAAATTGGAAAAAAACGTAATATGCTCACAAGATTCCTGCTTGATCTTCTTGATGGAGGTCACGCTGGTTAGAGAAGATGACGTGCGTTCCAGCGCACGTTTGGAGCCGGAAGGACTTTCCGATTCTATCTTGACCTTGACATCGCCGGCAGGAGGGTTCGCGAAGAAGTTGCGATGCTTGGCTTGGGAGCTTGAAGCTTGGGCCGCAGGCATGGCAACCAGGTAGCGTTTCTTCACTCGATTGTCGACATTGGTGGCCAGATGATTCATCTGGTTTTTGGCCATCTCCTTCTTGTACTCGGTAGTACTAGGAGGGATCGCCCGTGTGGTGTAACCATCGCGCTGGTGGTCATCATCGTAGTTAGCCCGGGAGAAGAGAAGGAAAACAAGGAGGAGAAAAAAAAAACTTACAATCGCTCTGGCCCATATGAAGGCACACCGATGCGAAAAGCGATAAAAGAAAGTTGGATCCCAAGGTGCCGTCAAGATCGCGCCATCCCCACCAAGAGCTCTTTCAAGGTGATCTTGGTAGATACTAGCCGCCTCAAGCTCTAAATCTTTGGCCGCTTGGACCGCCTGGTTGAGCCAATGAAACGCGAAAGATGAGCATGCAAGACCTAAACCACGCGATGAACCATATCACGCTCACCGCGGTTTCCTCTTTGGCCTCGGCGAGCTCCTCCTTCGAAGCGGCTAGGGCTCCTTCAATCGAGTTCGGGTCCACAGTTCCTTTGATGAACGCCACCGCACTAGTAGCCTACGTAGCGAAAACAACCGTAAATCGATCAGATACCACACGAATCAAAGAAACACATACCATTCTTTGAGGAGATGGTAAAGAGAAAAGTACACACCTGGGCAGTCTTCTTAGCCTTAACTTGAGGTTTCTCCAACACAATGTTCACGGTACCTTTCAAGCTACGGCTCTTTCCCAGATTGTTGAAAAAGTCTTGATAATTCTTGTAATCGGTCAATTTGGTTTTCTTTGAACCAACAGTTGCATTCCAGGTCAACAACGGTGCCAACGCGCTTTCAAGAACGACCTTCTTGATTCCGGGGAAGTACAGGTCGCAAACGTTGCCAACTAAGTCTTTGAACTCTTTCAAGGATTTTCCGTACATGAAGACCTTGGAGTCTAAGACCAGTCCGTCATTGAAGTCGGAGGAATCGATGACGGTGAACTGAGGGGTTGGAGGTGGCTTCTTCCTCCCGGTGGTCACTTTTGCAGGAGTCGGTTTGGCCATGCCAGGTGCGACATCGACAATGTCGTTCGTGTGGATTTTGAAGCCCACCGCAATCGTAAACGATTGACTTTCTTCCATCAATCGACAAGATTTGGTTCCTTGGCGCCAGAGGCGCGCGAGCGTAGGATGACGCGCTGGGGCATCGTCCCCTTCCGTGATCAAAAAAGGCGGATCAAACACTGCAGGAGATCAATATCAGCTGGATGAGTAAGTGAGAAATACAGAATAGAGAAACTCGCCTTCATCGGGATTCTCATCCTCATGGATCAAATTTTGAATAGGTTCGAGTGGCATTTCTGGTAAAGATGTTTGAAGAATCAGCGTGTTATCAAACGGAACAAGGTGGGAACACTGACTGATATGACTTTTGAATTGAACGGATGTAGTCAACAGAGGTTTGACAATATCGATGATTGGCCTAATATGATGAATCACACTGAAACAATGAAACAAGACTGGTGTGAGTCGATCTGCTTAAAAACCAGTGAAAAGGATGGAGAAACCGAAGGAAGACATGTACCAAGGTGAATAGGAGACCAAAACCGGGAATGAAAGAAACGGAGGGGTATGAGATGAGTTCTTGGTTATATTCGTCGAGATCAATGGGATCCAAGAAAAAATTGAATCATCGCAGTTCCACCGGCCATGCCTCCATCCGGCCGGGGAGTTCATCACGAGTGCTGCAGTGGGTGTCGAAGTCGTGAGTGTCGAACGATGGATTGGCGATTAAGGTAATCAGGTCGAAAGATTGATGGGAAGAGTAAATCGACAATCCCGCCCACTGGTCAGTCCGACAGTGGCCAAAAACGAGTTGTCAGAAACCGGGTAAAATCTGGGAGTCAAAAAAAAAAAAAAAAACCATTATTTGTCACAACGGCTGTACATGACCATGACTTGTGATTTAACATACACCCGTGACAATACCCCCCCTGAGTAGAATGGATCTAAGATTAAAACATAAACCTGAACCCCACTTGTTACCTTTGATTTGATTCTTGCAGTTTTAAGGAAAAGCTGAACACTTTAGCAGTCTTTATGTGCTCCCATCAATCAATCTTTATCATTCTAGCCAAGACTCACTGTGAGAGCTTATAGAAGAGACCACAGAGTATGTATAATTCTAAATCATATCTTATGGTACCCCAAAATTCACATACTTCATCAAATGCAAATGATCAAAAAGTTGTATTGAACAAAAAACAGAAAGGTGAGTAGAGAATAGAGATTTTGGTAAAGATAAAGAAGCCAAGTAAAAAAATGAAAACAAAACATGCAAAAAGAAATGCTGTGATTGTAATACTTTATCTGCTTTCAAAACTGCTCCTGCATTTACTTTGGTTCCTAATTGATCTTGATATTCACTCAAAGCTACATTCCCAGACTTGAATTTCAATATAGATGACTTAGAGGCCATGGAACTACATTTCTTGTTCCCTTAATTTGACCCATGTTGAGGCTGTTGGCATTATAAAGACATAGGGCCACTCACTGGCTTATAAGCTATGTTTCAAAAATTACAGCAAAGAAGTGTCAGTAGCAGACACCTTGAAATAAAAAGACAGAACCTATGTTATTCTAGGTGTCTGTGTTTCTGGCAGATAGCCACAAGTTTGTATCCCATTGATGTAAGTCTATCTTAAAAAGATGTTCAATGACAAGAATCACTATGTCCACCATATGCAGTACCCAGCCCACTTGACCCAAAATGAGATCCCATCTTGGCTTTGGTCAACAAGTGTAGACTGCAAGATTTTTCATAATCTTGGACAAACCTAGCAATCAGATCCCAGCTAAATTCCCCCAATCAAACAGGTACACTCACCCATTTCTTTTGAGTATACTCAAAACTGTTTTCTTCATGGCTCCAAGCTTTGTACCCTACTGATGCATTCTCAGTCTGTTTTTGTGTGATTTCCTTGCACATCCTAACTAAGTGGCAACATAGGACATAGCTCCATGAATGAGGTTCTGACGCATGAGGTCTAAACCCATGATTCAGAATCAGAGTTTTACTGTTAGAGTCTGAGATTTGGAAGACCAAACTTCCTCAGACTGCACACCTCATAACAAGTAGAATCCTCTAAAATGGTGTTATCCACTCTAAGGGAGGAATTAAGATTTAATTTGAAGATTCAAGACAGTTTAATTCCTGCAGATTATGAAACCGACTTGCAAAAAACATGGTATCATTCACAAGTGAAACAAAGTCAACACAAGAAAAATTGAGAGCAACAGGGATAATGGTAAACAAGAAGAATGTAGGAGAAGGCTCAAGTACAGGCCAAAGTGGAAGGCCAAGCAAAGCATATACAAGGAGCCAGTCAAAGAATAGGGGAGAGGAAGGCCAAGCAAACAAAGAACAACCTGGTAACGGTGAGACATGAAACAGGAACAAAGAAGGAGGAGAAGAGAGAAACAGTCAACAAGAACCATACACAGGAGCAGACAAAGAAACAGAAGGTGCAAAGGGACAATGAGAAGAGGAAGGAGGAGCTGAAGAAGTCCAAAGTAAGTGTACACCATGATGAAATTTCCCCAAATATGTTTCATTAGCTCTTCATATTGGTTTTTCTAGAGGCAGAAAGAAAGAGTCAATCTTGGACCTGTCTGGGGACTAGAGGAGGGTACAGGCAATACCCAAACCGCATCGCCATATATAGCGGTTGCGGAGCGATGTCGCAGCGGGTTTTCCGTGCGCCATGGGCTCCAAAATACATAGTGGAGCCCGCGCACCTTGATTGCTACAAAAGGCTGTTGTAGAATCCATTCCAACCCATTGGGGTTTGAGTTGTTTTAAAGAAACTTTGATCTTCACTCACATAGCGTGCCATATAGCGCAAATATAGCAGTATGGACCGCTTTGACATTGTGAGAATTTTTTTTTGACTAAATAGCGCAGCCAGAGCGCTTGGCTTGATAGCGCAGGCTGCGCAACACTATGGAAAATGGCCAAATTCAATAGTGTTGCGTAGTGATTTGGGTATTGCTCTCATGTGTTGATACTCACAAAGGCGCCCTGAGGGTGCTTGGGCGGGTCGGGCACCGGGGCTACCAACTTTCACTCCTCCAAAAACTCACATGCTGATCAGTCATACTTCCAAAGTTCTCACATGATGGACAATTTGAAAGTGCATCCCATGTTGTACAACCCATGGTTTTTGTGCCTAAAACCTAAGCCTGGCTCTGCCTGACCCCAAGGCCTCAAGTTCAGGGCGCGCCCTGCCTGGCCCTGAACCATTTTGAAAGACCCTTGGGTTGCTTTGAGGCCGGACCGCGCACCCGGGCCCCTAAAGGAAACTCATAGAATGGATGACCCGTCCTGACACTCAGGTTGTGGGCGCGCATATAATTTGAAAGGCGCACCGAGGCACGTTTTTACGTTTTTTCTCGCGCCGAGGCGCCACTGGCGCGCCGGGCGCGTTTTTTTCCAAAAAAAATTCGTTGATGTGGATAG